TTTTTTGTATCCCGAAGGTGTGACTATAGAGAGGTTTGACTGTAGATTTCCTTATGCGATTTTAGTAACTCACGTGATCTTTCGGAATTGATTTAAATTCGTTCATTATCTTCGTCAAATCACTTATCTACCAATCACAATCCACACACGTGACACGGATGTCCTTTTTGCTCGATTATGCGAAACATCCAAGATGCGAAAATTTGGTAAATCATGCTTTCGCATAATCCTGGACACCCTAATTCAGGGTTCTATTTATGTGCTGATTGAATTGAATAAGAGCCTGTTATTAAGATCGTCAATGATAACCAGCGTCATTGAGATTTCTGATCGTGTTACGTTACTCTTAATCTTGAAGTGTGATTGGTAATTCAGGAATCTGCGCCACAAATCCAGCACACATTTTAGATAACAGATAAGTAAAAAATGAAAGGTAAAAAATGCACGAACGGTTACGCTTTCCTTGACCCACAACTCCATTCTTTGTAAACTTTTTTTTTTTAAAGGGTCAAAGAGGTTTTGGTGATAACCAAAGAATACACTGCTTTTTATGATATAATACACAAAATTAACAAAATTAAATGCTGAGTAGAAAAAAACGTTCTTCGAAATCAGAAAGTAGTCAAGAAGATATACCAGTACGTGAGTCTAATCCATCCCCAAAATTAAACATAGAGTTTGAAGTAGGGAAGGCACTGGTATTACGACCAAATCAGGTTGTGAGAGGTATTGTGTCAATGTACTGTACGAAAATCTATTATCAAAAGTGGAACTATAAAGTAAACATATTGCGTGGTCCAAACATAATATTATTAGGAGCAATTATATTAAAGGTTTCCGAAACTGATAAAACACTGTGGGCATCTACAATTAAAATAAAATTTCGAGGTATGTACCGGTATTTTCCAGTAAATTATATTCACATTGATTGTGTTCTAAAGAATCGATCCTTTTTTTAAAGGGGATGAAACTGCTACATCGCATCTAGTGTCATGCACCGCAAGAACTACATATTTTGAATGTAGCAGTACGGTTTGGAGTGGCAACATTGGAGGTAGAGGCGGAGGTAATCTTTGATCCATAAATGGTGCCAAATGAAAAATCTTTTTATGCGTTTGATAGTACAGGATTCAATTTCCAATGGCATGTTATTTTCGCATTAAAAATTGCGGTATTAAAAATTTCGTAAAGCGAAAGCCATCAAATGCATGAAAAATATTATAGTTCTTCATTTGGACAATCATCCGAAAAAAGATGCTCAATTAGACCAGTAAATTAATTATGCTTTTCATTAACAGATAATATATATTGTCCCTGGAAGGAGCTTACTCCAGGAGTGTATAGGTTTGAATTTGCACTCAAGGTAAAATTTTCAACATAAATTAGATTTAATTGAGTACAAAATTGTTCACCAGAAATTTAAATTCAATTTTTAAGTTACCTGCCATAAACTTTCCGCCATCGATCGAGGTATTGATTTGTAGACAATTGTATATCTGTACTAATAAAAGATTGTAGCTATAATGACTTTGGTTCAATTGTTCAGGGGCCAAAAGGGTTCTCAATACGTTACGTGTGGCAGGCTGTGATTGAAGGCGCTGGTGGAACATTCATTGAAGGACCTGAGGTTGTTACGCCTTTCGTTCCAATATATTTTGCGCCACCTGCTCAAGAATGGACCTATAAAGAGACCTTACGTAATGAAAATAAAATTTTAATGCATATTGAGGCAATTCTACCAAAACATGTGTTTGCACCTGGTAATTATTACTTATATCAATTTACTTGAACTTATGTGTACGTACATCACTTAATTCCATTGTGAATTTACATAGGTGAAGAATTTAATTTTACTCTTCATATTACAAATCACTCCGCCGGACGGATCACATACACTCAATGTTCTCTTCGTAAACATTACGAAGGTCCTCTTGATAAGGATATCATATGTGACAAACACGAACGCTCGCTTGCATCGACTGAAGGACGTTGTGATATACCAGTCATGCAGCGTTCGCAAACTGGAAAAATCGAATTTTCTCTTACAATTCCTAAAAAACATCATCATGTGCCCCCAACATATACGGGACGTCATTTACGAGTGTACTATACTTTACGATGTGTTATTCAAGTAGAGTCTGGTAAATTCATTACTAATATGCAATTCTATGAAATTACCATTCCTGTCTCTGTGACATCATTCCCGCATCCGAAAGGGTTAGTTAATTCTTTTCCCCCATATTCAGAGTCTCGTGCCAGACCATACTTTTTTGACCCTAAACAGGATTTTCCTCCTGATCATCCTGAGAGTATTAGATTTTCTTATTCAGCTTTAATGTCACAGTTTGACGCATTTTGTGATGGATTTGATTTAGATCCATACTATTATTGTTATAATGATAGTACCTCT